TATATATATATAATGAAACATTTTAAACGATTGCAACAAATTTTACCAATTTTTTCTTCTTAAATCATTTTGATTTTGAAGAAAAAAAGTAATGTAATCATTCAAAATGAATTGGATGATTGGCAATTTTAACTTTAAGCTTTTAAATTTCCATATTAATTGGAAAGAAACAAAAAATCCTGCACTTATGGGTCAAATTAATTGCAATCATCAGATCATCTTTATCGACTAACACCTTAACTATCATCTTTAAATCACACCACGCAACCACTATTATCAAATACATGCATCTGATAAGAATGGCCAAACTGCTATTATAAGATCACCACCATCAAACTACAATCACCAGATAATTCATGTCACATTTTTGCATTATGATCACTATCATAAGAGCACCATTTTTGAACTATCGTTATGTAAACTTATATCTTCAAACAATCATTATTTAACCACTTTCACGTTTAACCTTTATTAGAACCACCAACACTCGAACACCATTGTCAAACCCTTGTCCCTTGACTATCATAACTAAATAATTGCTACCCAATCTCTCACGTTTAGCTGTTATTATTAGACTGCCGCCATCTTCATCAAATCATCATTGCCTAACCACAACTTTTGACTATCATCAGCAAACCTCCATCATTTATTGCTTGTTCATCGCCTGATCATTACCATCCAATTGTCATCTTCATATCACTGCCACCTAACCATTATGGTCAAACACTTAGTTGCAAATATATTTTCCTACCACTAAATCACAGTCCCTCAATTATAATCACCCAACTGTTGTTATTCAACTACAATCATCCTTATCACCATCACCCAACCCATAGTATGTGATCCCCATCACTAAGCTACACTTTCTCGACCATCGCTTTAATAGGTCATCCAACCACTATCATCTGATTATGAATGTCCAATCATCATCACCAAACTAAAATTTCTTGTTCATCATTACCCAACTACAATCACTTGACCATCATTACATAATCGCATCTACTTGGTTGTCATCTCCCGACTAAAATCTCTCAATCATTATAACCCAACTAATTTGATGCCAATCATCTTTAGCACCTAATATTAACTTTGAGACTATATGTCTTCAACACACTTCATCACTTTATAAGACTAACATTCTTCATCGACATATGTTATGGCTTATAAAATCACTTACACCATCGATATCCACTAACTTTGTCATCTATTATCATCAACACTTGAGTTGCACACTATCACAAATAAAGTAGATTTATATCTTCAACCCTGACTCTGATTCCTGACATCAGAAATAATAATAATGCTGAGTTTTTTGTTTTTTTTAATCATTGATATTCACTTCTTAAAGGAAAAAGATAACCATGTGATAAGCTATTTAAAATAATTTTGATTACGCAAAATTTGTCAAGTTTCAAGAAATTTATATGCAAAACTCATATTAATAAATTGTATCATTGCCTTTCTCGATTGACAAAAGACATTCTCAATACCCAACTATAAGAATGGGTTCTAGATACCAGAGTAACAGTCTACCGCAGAACTCATATGACTAATTTACAACAACCATCTATTTACAATGATTATGATCAAATGGCTAATGGAAATAACCAAAATTCTAAAATCACCCATGCTGGGGACAACATTCTTTCGACACTAAACAACACGCTTAAACTTTCTCCTTTCTTTGGTGTTCATAAGCTTTATCAAAATCTTATATCTGTCACCAAGCTTAAAAATACAACAATCATCATGTTATCTTTAATGCTAATCAGTTTTACATTCAAAACTTAACAACTAAGAAAATTCTTCTTACTGGAGCAGCTGATCAAGTATTATGTCATATCATAGCCACCAACACTATCAAAAGCTCAAATATAAGGAATCAAAGATTGGGGCACACTCACTACAAAGTCATCTCAATGATCTCTCACTTTCATTCTCACCAAAGTACCTCTAACTTCTCCATCATGTCATGATTGTTATTAAAATAAGAGTCATTCACTACTTGTTTCTTGTAGTTCTACTATATATAATAAATTAGAAATATTGCACACAGACATTTGTGAACCTTTTCCTCATTCTTCTATTGAAAAATACAAATATTGTGTCACTTTCAATGATTCATTTTCTCATTTTTGTTGGTGCATCTCTAAGACATAAATTTGAAACCACACCACACTTTATTTATATGCATAAAAAGATTAAAGATCATTCTCAACAAAAAATGAATAAATAAATACTTGAGAACCGATGTCTGAGGATAATATATATCAAATGAACTTTGACTTTATCGACAAGATCACAGTATCAAGCATCAATTCAATTGTTCACATACTCCTGAACAAAATATTATTGTCGAAAAGAAAAACAGACATTTAGTAAAAACTGATAAAACTCTTCTCAATTTTGTTAATCTTCCTATCAAATTTTAGATGGAAACTTTATAAACTACTAATTACCTAATAAATAGACTCCTCTCTACCAACACTCAAAGAAAATCTCTCTTTACACAATACTAAACCTTAATGTCAATCTTAGAACCTTTTATTGTATATGTTGTCTCTGTCAATAGCATAATATTTCACACAAGCCCTCTCTAAAAACCCCACAACATATATTTTTTTGATACAATCATACCACCGGTTACTAGTGTTTTGATATTCAGGCTAACAAACTCCTTTCTCACAAAATGTTGTATTTATTGAAGATTATTTTCTGTTCAAGGAATCATCTCAACTGTTCACTCCTGATAATTCTACTCAGATTACTCTATTATTACCATATCTACTTTATCCACATCAACTCTCCTCTCTAACACCACCTCCATTCCTTCTACTCAACATTTCCATTCACACACTCGTCCACAATCCCTTACTGATTCTCCCAACACCCAATATTCATCACACCACAAGACCTACTCATTCCATTCAAATCCTTATGTGGATAATTTCAATGTACAAACAGAAACACCACATGCATTACCACAAAAAGTGGTACACTAGCCACTTGAACACACACACAATCCTCCCATTACATCACAACCCAAACAACATCACATGGTTACTAGATGTCAAACAGGCAGTTTAAAAGAAATACGAGTTCTTTATTGTCAATATATTACCTCTTCCACAAAAGCACCAAATACTTACAAACAAGTCGTTCAACAGTTACATTGGCGACAAGCAATGTCTGAAAAGTTTATCGCCTTACACCAGCAATGCATATAGTCACTTGCTCCACCTCCAACAAGTCAAAATATATTAGAGTGTAAAGGAACTTTCAGAATAAAATGTCGTGCAAATGGCTTAATAACCAGATACAAAGCCTTAAGATTTTCATAACAACATGGAGTAGACTATCTGGAAACTTTTAGTCCGATTGCAAAATCTCCCATGATTCATTTGATCACTTTAACCTATACTAAACACTGGAAAATTTAGAAACTATAAATCTTTAACGCTTTTTTACATAGAAACTTGATAAAAAAGTTTTTTTTGACAAAACCCTCTAGATTTACTGACAACCATTCTCATTATGTTTGCAAATCACGAAAAGTTATATATGGTCTTAAATAAGCACCATACAATGGTACTCTACTTTTTGTAATTTCTTGTATATTAAAAAATTTATTCTAAGTATTGCTGATCCGTCTTTGCTTATTTATCATCATAATAAGCATTGTATCTATTTATTATTACATGTTGATTTATATTAATTACTACAAACTCCACTACTGCTATCAATATCTAATTCACACTATTAGCAATCAGTTTAATTTAAAACATTTAGGTCTCATCTCACTTTTTTTTTGGTTTACAAATACAACCACTTCAAAAGGAATTTTTTTAATCAACCCAATGAATAATTAACTTGTTGCACAAAACAAAAATGTACCAAGTTAAACCTATTTTAACTCCTCTTTCCACTCATCGACATAACCATACAGACACACATACCCATGACCAAACGCAAATATGTATCGACAAATTATAAGATCACTATAATATCTCGTTGTTACTCACCTGACATCACTTTCATTGTAAATTATTTAAGTAAACACATGCACAACCCAATCACTCTAATCAATATTAAAAGACTTTTGAGATACTTAAAAAATATATCCAATTGTGGCCTTCCCATCATCTATAGTGCTTTTTATTTAAGTGTATATGTAGACACAGACTGAGCTAGTGACAATACTAACTGAAAATCCTCCTTTGAATTTTGCATCTACCTTGGAGCCAATCTCATTTCATGGCCAGTAAAGAAACAACCTATGATGGCACGATCATCTACAAAAGCTTGCTTAGTACAGAGCTTTAACTACTTACCCAAATTGAAATCATCTAGCTAAGACGACAACTACAATAAGTTACCAACCAACGGTCACCTCCCACAATATTACACAATCTGAGTAGAATTGCTCTAGCGCACAATCATTGCTCTACCGCACAATCTGGTCGTCCATGCTCGAACAAAACACATAAAAGTAGACTATTGTTTTATCAGAGATCATCTAAAGCTCAAGTACATACATCTCCAACATTTCATGATTGAGGATTAAAAAACATAATTTTTCACAAAACCTTTAGCTATTAAACACCATCAAAATCTTACCTGCATGCTAATGATCACAAACCTTAATTATCTTGAAGGGCAGGTAAAAGGAACCCTTCATCTCTCACCAAAAGTTCATATTTTACCTTCGTCTCCGAGCTTTTACTAGCTCTCCAGTTTGCTCTCCCGGGCCGCCTCCTACTTTAGATTAAAGTGCTTGTGATAGTTTTGGGATTCTGTTGCCCTAAAATATGCTTTCATACTAGTATTCAATAAATGTAAAATGTCTATTATTTCCTTATGCTACACTACCACTTTGCCATGTAATGCTTTTATAAATACGCCCCAATGTAATGTACTATGGGAAAAAAATTAATAACAACATTCGCTTATCTTTTTAGCCTCATATAACCTCCCTTCTTTATGTATCTCTCTCTCTCTCTCTCTCTCTCTCTCTCTCTCTCTCCCCTCTTTTTCTCTTCTCATATATTAAATAAAGTTTAAGAAAGCTGTTTTAATATAGTTATAAGATGAAGCATATAAAATGTTTTAAATTAACGAAATAATGGTAAGGATGAAACTCTTGCTCAATAATATTAAAACTGATTTCATAAGTGAGTGAAAGAAAAAAAAAACAAACCACTCACTTCAATGAAACTAGTTTCAGGAACCCTATCTAGCTACTTCTAAACAGTTTTCACGAAATTAGTTTGGATATTTGTTTAAGCCTGCATTTGAAACAGTTTTTATAACTTCAGGGTTTGTTTGGGGCATCTTGTGCGTTTCAAAATAAACAGTTTATTTTAAAACACGGAGTCGACCCGCGGCCTACATTTAGTGTAAAAAACACAAACGCGATAAACATACACACAGACCAAACGGTTAGGCGTCGTTTTCACCTATTCCCAAACCCCCGCCGCACTTATAAGCTGCCCCAAACGGGCCCTTATGCTTCTATTTTACATACAATTATCTCAGTTCTTTTCAACTATAAATTTTTGTTTAATTCATTTTCAAAATAAGGCCTGTCAAAATGCAATAATTTGTAAAAGCTAGTCGTGATTTTTCCAGAAAAATACTTTATAATATATTTATGATAGATCTTGAAATATAAACTTTTACAGCACTATTTCCAGAAAATTTGATGATATTTAAAGAAGAAAGAACCTCCTATTATGTAAACTAGTGAATATCTCAACCCAATTCCTATAAATATCCCTTCATCGCAATCAGGCTTTCAAGAAGATAAAACATTACATAATTAGACTTGAACTCCGTAGGATATGACAATTCTATCAGTACTAATCTAAGTCATATGGCCCTGTAATTTTTCCGTAACCAAACCAAAGATACCGATAGCGATAAAGACCTTCGCGAACTGACTGCCTTATAATTGGTGTTTGTGCTTGCCCGAGCATGCGTGTGTGACTAACCGTGTGTGGACCTACAATTAGTATGTACGTGCACGGCTAAAACTGATTGTTGTGTGCGTGCATTTTATTTTTTATTTATTTTTTATTTATTTTTTATTCAAATGGTGATATTTTTTATGTGATATGAAAGATTTGAATGGTAGAAATGTAAGAAAAATAAAACTGAGGGGCTATATGTGTAAATATATATGAGTTAAGTGGTACGCATGTAAAATGTTCATTCAAGATTTCAGCATGATATAAATAAATATCTAAATGTGTTAAATAAATAAATACATAAAATTTGGGGGGTTTATATAAATCCTCATAATATTAATGTATCCAAACGGCTCTGAGCAGCACCTCTAAAACTGTGTACAAACTATTACAATACGCTTGCATTTGCTTGCTCTTTTTCATGTTTAATCCATCACAAACTGCCTCACACAGACATTGTGTCACAACACTAATCAACACTATATCCACTCCCTACAAAACCAAGCCTCACGAATTGTTATCTTTCAAAGTACGAGCACATTTGTTTGGGCTACAATATAGACGTATTGCGACAAATCAATAGTCAAGGTTTGTGATCTGAGATAAAATTGGATGAAGTGAAAACCAGTTCTTACCACTCAGGCTAAGCAAAATGATCATCACGCACGTCTTCGGAATTTTTGGGAAGCAAGCAGAGGAGGTTTTAGAGGCTACCAGACACTCCAGGAAAGAGTTCTGAAATCTTGGTGAATACATCCATGACCTGAGAAGCAACAATTATTTTGGTGAGAATTTGGTAAAGTGTCAAAATAGTCTCTTGAGTTTCGAAGCCTATAACTGTGTCAAATTATTTCCCATATTCTTTTAAAAGGAGCTAAAATAGTTCTTCATGGGACTGATTGACACTTTTATAGACTCTAGAACTAAAATGGCCCCCTAATAAACAGGCAGGATACCATTTTGACACTTTTTCTCCCTCTTGTGTGTATGAAGAGAAACACAATGTCCAGATTTCAAAATCACAGAATAGTGAAGTGGGGAACAATTATTCTTGCAGAGAAGCACTGTTCTTTGTCAACAAAAAAAATGGTGAAAGCAGAAAGCTTAAGCTCACAAGAGAAAGTTAACTAAGAGTCACTAGCACAATAAACCAGATTGCCTGAAAATGACCCAAGTTGCACGAAGAAATGCACAAAATTAATGAGCTTCTGCTTCAAAGAGAAAAAAATCAATGGATCCAGATCAAATTTGGCAGGACTAGTATTATAATTTGCATTTACTTGAAGACAAGTGAAATATGAATTTTAATCGATTAGTTGTGTGGATTATACTGATGTCAAAGCTAGTCAAATAGCTATGAAAAACATCTAATTCGACCTTTGACCAGAATACCTTCCAAATTTTTTCCCAAAATCACAAAATTAAGAAACAGACCATTTGTGTTCGGTTGCCCTCAAAAAAATCATCAACAGGGCTTGAGTGTGACTTAGATTGAGCCAATTGCAATCATCAAATTCATTTAAATGAGTTCAAGTCTTCCTGATTGAATTGAGAACTAAGGATCATTTTCATAAAGCAGAGGGTACTAATGCATGAAGCTCCTGTTTACATTGGACCATAAAAGATAAATGTACATAAATTTACCGCTGCATTGCAAGAGAGGTTTTTCCCTTGATCTGAACCAATAAACTCCAAGTAATAATGGAGGAAACCTATCCCTAGCACTACAACAACCATTTAACTAAAACCTTTTTGCATATATAACCAAGCCGGCCAGGAGGAAGAGGGAGGAACTCCGCATGCACAGATCCCCATACATATTTTTGACCTACAACAAGAGCACTTCAATGGCCTAACATAATTCGAACATCATCATCAATAACAACAAGAACAAGCCTTTATCCCACTAGGTGGGATTGGCTACATGAATCTTCTTTCTCAATTATGTTCTATTGAGTATCATATTTTCATTTAATTCCAATAGATTAACATCATTTTTTTATATAATATGCCGAAGTTTTTTTAGGTCTACCTCTTCCTTTCTTAACATAAGTTGAATCTAAAACATCTACTCTCCTAATCTGATCATCAAATTGTCAACATTTAATGTGACCAAACCATCAAAGACGACTCATACTAATTTTGTATGCAACTATAGCTACACCAATTCTTTCGTAGATAAATTTGTTTCGCATTCTAACATAATTCAAGCATCAATAGTACAAATTGAATATGAAGAATTAATCCCTACTTTTACAAATAAGGTTACGAGAATAAGACCAAATTTTTTTATTAAGACATTATTTTGAACCATATTGATTTAAAACTTTTTATGGTCGTTAGGCCCTTTTATATGAAAATTTTATGTTACTTTTCTTATTATTGATTGAACTCTTCTTCCAATGATATGCTAAAGTGTGAGTAGACAAGCGAGTCCATGATACACATGCCTCTATTCATCAATTATCTTGAGGTCCAACATAAATGTTTGTCACCCTCTTTGCAAATGGCATATGCAAATAAGAAGTTGGCAAAAAGAGAAACACGACACTTAAGAACAAGAATGTAAGGCCATGAGCAAATAAGGCACCAAGGCAATTAATCAAAATCCTTGACAGAGGGGACCACAAATCGATGTTGGGCATGCCTACTGTTGTGATTGCCATAGCTTAACTAAACATAATAATTCCAGGGTTTTCAACTCCAGCCTTCTAAATGGGAACGCAAGTCTTCGGATGTCACCAAATCACATTAGCTCTTATATGGCTAAAGATAAATGATTGAAGCACTATGTAATACTTAAGCCACTTTAATTTGCAATGATAATATCAATATTGGTGTATAATACATATCATGAAAAAAAAATATTATGAAGAGTTATATTAGAATATCTTACTAGGGAGAAACAGATTTGCATACCCATAATTGTCAACATTTTCATTAGTTTTGTTTTGTATTCATCATGTACACCTATAATAAGGCTCCTACATTCAACAAGCAAAACACAGAAAATCCTTTTTCAACTTACTTGTGCAAATACAAATTCCCACCCTAGTCTTCCACCCTCCTAATCCTACTCTATAAACAAACTTAATGGGCATCCATACATATGTTCTTAATGTCAAAATTTTGAAAAAAATAGGCTGAATTCTGAATAGGCTCGATGCATTTTCACTTTGTTTTCATTTCATTAAATAATAATCTTACAATCTATTTTAGGTATAAAATATTCTGTATAATATATTTTAGGTAACTTAATAATATATATCCCTAATCTAAATATTCAACTAAAAGGGAAATAAATCAGAATAAAAATATTGGAAAAAATTTAATTAAAGAAGCTCCTAATTAGAAAACTCCTAATTTAGCTCTCTGATTTACGTCCTTCCTGATTAATATCCCCCCTCAAATTGATGTTGACTGATCAGGAAAAATCAATTTGCCAACAGTAAACTTTTATGGGACCAACAATCCTCAAGTCGTGAGTGTCGTGAGTGCTGAAGCCGAAGGTGTCGAAACCGAGAATGTCGAAGTCTCAGAGACAACTCTCATAACATGATTTGAGCAAAGATAAGCAAGAAATCTTTTATCATTGTCGTCTAGAAATTCAAATCATAGCAACAAGAAGGATCTGCTTCCAGTTACATGATCCAAATGCTGTCGATCATAGCCCACAAATATGATCCAGTAACACGATCCAGATGTTATCGATCATAGCCTACAAGTAGGATCCATGTCCTGATCCAAATACTACTGATAATAGGCCACAAGTAGGATTCGCGTCATGTTATACAATCCAAATGCTATTGCTTCTTCCTGCAACGACGAGGAAGATTTGTTCCCTGATCTTCACGCCAAAAGTGCTGAAGCCGAGATGCCGAAGCCATTAAGTTTCCAACACTTGTCTCGAGTGTGGTTGTGTTGGTGACAGAACACGAGTGGAGTGCTCGGTCCGAGGCGACATGGACGAGGGCTGACCTCAATTTCGAGACATTGATGAATTTGTAAGTCATCGACTGACTGATAATTGCATGAAAGCAGCAAGAAAGTTGCAATAATGCTACATGAAAGATGCAAAAAAAACTGCAAGAAGATGCAAGAAAACTGCAGGAAAGATGCAGGAAAACTGCAAGAAGGCTGCAGGGAGGTTCCAAGATGGTTGTAGGAAAGATGTAGGAAAGCTGCAGAAAAGTTGGTAGCCAGACTGCAAAAAATCTGGGAGGTAGGCGCCTAACCCAACGGGAAGGATCAATAAGGAAGGCAGGTGGGAAAGCTTGCAGAAAAAGCCAACTACAGTGCTCAGGAAAGCTGCAGTGCTCAGAGAAGGCTAACGGTTGAAAATAACTGCTGGAAATCAACAACCGACAAAACAGCCTGGAATAACAGCAAAAAATCAATTGCATTACCTTGCGGCTACCTAGAACCGGAAATCAACAGCGAGAACAGATACATGTTGCGGCTGAACAAAGAAAGCGGCAGATAGGAGAAACACAGTTGTTGTTCTGCAGCTGATAGGAAAAAAACAGCAAGTGCTGGAAGCTTGCTGGTGACAGGATAAGGAACCTCTACGGTTAGAGTTATGGCTCTAATATTATATCAGATTTGAGAATAAAGCAGCATAGTCGAGAAGGAGCACCAGCCAGCGAACCCAAACACGAAAGGGAGAAAACGTAGTCGTAGTCGTAGTCGAAGATTGAAGAAGGACAACGCAGCACGGGATGAAGCGGTAGAAGGCGAATCGAAGGCGGAGAAATAGCTCCTCCCTTCCCGCAAGAAGGCCGGTGAGAAAGGAGTCTTGTTGGTCCTCCAACAACTATCGGTGCTTAGGAAAAAAATTTGGTTCTGATACCATGTCAAAGTTTTGAGGAAAAATAGGTTCAATTCTGAATAAGCATGCCTTTTCCCTTTGCTTTCATTCCATTAAACAATAATCTTACTATCTATTTTAAGCATAGAATATTCTGCATAATCTATTTTAGATAACTTAATAATACATATTCCTAATCTAAATATTCAGCTAAAAGGGAAATAAATCAAAATAAATATATTGGAAATAATTTAAATAAGGAAGCTACTAATTATAGAAAACTCCTAATTTAGCCGTCTGATTTCCGTTCTTCCTGATTGTCACTTAATCCACATATAACCCATCAACCACTTTGTTATACCCAACATGATTCGTATTTAGCATGTTAACACCTAGTTGCAACCCGCTCATGCTATGATGCTCCGATTCAAGCAATGAACACTCCATTCCAGCCAAGCCTACACAGACACTCTCTCTTTCTTGAATGTAACCTGCTCTAGCCTTGCACCCCAACGCCATGGCTCCAATTCACAATGCTGACTTTATCGATCATTGTATGCTAGCATGCAACCGTAAATATGCCACCTGCTTCTACCAATAGCAAACACACCTCCCAATTTTCACCCATAGCCATACACTTGTATTGAATCTCGTGACACAAGTGCTTTCTTGCTAACAGAAACAGTTGATTGCATCCAATCCTAATGGTTCTACTAAGCTTGCCAAATCTCTTCTTGACACTTTTCTCTCAACAGTGTCCTGGCCTCATAATCCTCTCTTAAAGACTCAAAATAATCCTTCATTATTTGTATTACAATTAGGTATAATGATGAAATTAACATCTATGAACGATGGCATTTCATTTTTTGGTTACGAAAAGCTCATCTTAGTGTGATTCTCTCTAGATTGTGGTAATGCCATCAAGATTCCAAACTGCAAGCTTCCAACCATATCATCTTGATGTACTTGCTAGCCTTTGATTTGCAGTAGCCTCAACTGTAACGTTTTATAACTCAAGGAGATGTGCAAGTTCCTTCATTTCCCCCATCAACTTTCAGGAAAATAATACATCTCATATTTACACTCTTTTCCTTGAGATCTTCCCTACTCAAAAAAAATAATTTGCAGATCCAAAAATACTACAGCACTTACAAAAGGCAAATGAGATGAAGTTACTTTAATTCCGCCCATCACGACTAAGCCAGTTATTTGATTAAAACAAGAAAAAAAAAAATTTGTAGTCAATTTTATCTCTGATCCGTATTCCTCCACAAGAGATGTGCAATCTCGATTAAAGGAAACCTCCATAATCCCTAATACTGCAATCATCTCTACCAAGTTCTTCGCATCACTAATCTCTCAACTCCTCACACTATGACTATTGATCAATCAATTGTGTCAGTTGTCTTCAGGGGAAGTAAGGGAATTCATAAGTGCCAGAAGAACCAAACACACATGTAATCGTGAAAGTTAACACTTTTTATCCTCGCCCTTATAACAAATCCAGTAATCGTTCACTTAAATGCTGTTAGGAGAAATTCAGTTGCTCCTTTACTGCTCTACATGTTTCACATATGATAGCTAATTACCAATTATTTTCATCTCTATCACCAATTATTGTTTCTTAAGTTTCCCCTTTCTCAAGTTTCGGAAAAGAGCATTGTACATCATTTCAAATCTGTCACTTTCAATGTTTCTTAGTCCCATACTTTTCTTTCAAGTTATTATATATTCGCTATCTTATAAAGATCCATAATTATTCAATAACATTTTATGCATATTATTATGTAATGTAGAATCTCAACCCAAAAAATAAAAATAAAAAGATTAACTTATATGCTAAAAGCTGGCGGAGTCTACTACTTGATCATCTCTTCCGTCACTTAAATAACTTCTGCTCTCTCTTCAACCGCTTATATTCCTTCCATTCTCTCATCCAACATTACTCCATATTGTGGGGATTATATCTTCCCAACAATAGAGATCAACGTCATGTCTCCGTCCTTCATGCCGGTGTAAACAATTTTATATGTCCTTCCATCCTTTACCTTTAACATTCAAAATCTAAGTTTATTTACTCCAATATTTCAGTTTATAGCTCTATCCTTACCAAGAATTTAAGTATTTCTTTTCATGTTCATTAATGATTATTCTAAGATAACATTGGTCTACATGCTGAACTATCACTTGAATGTTCTGCATGTTTTTCAATTTTTTTGTAAGGAAATAAAATTTTAACGCTACATAAATCAAAACTTCAAGTCATAACAAAGCTCTAGAATTTATGCAATCTCAAATTCAAAGCTTCTATTATAGCAATAGTATCATGCATCAAAAATCTTATTTTTTATAATGACTCAACAGAATATTCTTGCTAAACGCAAAAATCGTCATCTATTTGATTGTACTTGACCATTCATATTCTTCAATAGTATTATTCATCAAATCTCTTATTATTCAACTTTAATGTTTCAAGTATAGAATTAGGTCATAAACGAGCTCTGCAAGTTGAGAAAAAATTCTAGAGCAATCAAGATAATGGATCTGACACCAATTGATTGGAAAGGGGTAGATGAGGAGATCCGCTTACAAGACATGAATCCAAAGCGAGAACACTCAATTAGGCACACAAATGATTTACACTCATTCAATCTTTAGAAAATAAAGTTGAATCCAAATGCCCAATTCATATTTATTGATCGCCAAAGAATTTTAATTAAAATATAATCCTATTTAAAAATAAATATAATCATATTATTACACACAAATTTAAATATAATATTATCCAACGAGGATAGCTAAACCTGATAAAATTAATCAAATAAACAATAAAATAAATTAGATCATGAATGAATATTAGACTAAATAGGCATGAAAATAGTCTCAATTTAGTTTCATTCTGGTTTTGCCAATTGAGTTAACCTGATTGTGGGTTTACTGCGTCCATCACTCAAAGCTTCCTTCTCAAGTAACATGCCACCTCAGTTTCACAAATGAATGTATGCCAACTCTTATAAAAATTGGAACCCCCACACCAAATTAGTATGCATTTTGAATAGCTTCTGAATGACTTAGTAGATCTGTTTGTTGGGCTCTATACGAAAGAAGTTTAACAAAGTTTAATGAAAATAGTTTATCCAAAATAAAGACTACGCTCCTGTTTCTAACAAATTATATAACACTGCTGGTCTTTCTACCAGATGCTATAATCTAGTAATACAGTAGTTGTTTCGCCACTAAGGCCGGCTAAGCATGAGGGGGTCAGAATGAATTCTATAAACTACAGTAAATGCTCCAACCTATCTAAAAGAAACATTTATTCAGAAAATTTCAAGTAATGAACACTTGTCTTATGTAGCACGAGCCTCACCTCCTTGTCATTTTGATACTTTGCAATGCTGAGAGGATTCTGAGAGCACTGTGAAAGGGAAAAACACAAGTCAGAAAGTGTATCTTGAAAATTGATGGAAGATTATCAGCTAGAACAGTATCATACATCCATGATTGCGGCTTGCACTTTAGGGTTTTGAAATGCCAAAGCGACGTCAGGATTTGCCATAATTTTAGAAATAACCTCTTCAGGAGTCAAGCCTACCTGATCTGCATGGGAAATGGCAATTAGAAATAGCCGCAGATACCAATAGTGTAATAAATTACAGCAGAAGCTTTGCTGTGGCACCATCACCAAATAATTGGTAATGATTTCTAATGAACAGTATCAACATATGCCTGAAAATGACAGCCAGATAAATTAGCATGCCTAATGCACGGAGCTCGAGCTAATGTAGGGTTTGAAGAAGGGCTGATCTAAGACGATACTCAAATAAATCATGATGAGAAAAAGAATGAAATAGTTCTCAGACAATCTATTATGTCTAATTTAATAACTTTGCTCCCCAAATCTGATTACAAATAGTCCATTGACTCATACAATTTGATCACAAATATTTCAACAGAAGAGCCATGTTAGATCATATTTACGTAGTTAAGTGACTAAATTGAACATATTAGACTGATGGGATAAAGATGGCAATATACAAATAGTTCAGGGACTATTTTGGCAATTTTCTCATAATATAAGATTAATTGCATGTGCAAAATTTTATGTAAGAGCAAGACCAAGTTATATCTAAAATCCAACAGCCACAGAAAGCATTTGAGATTCTGTTTTAAGTTGCACAGATATACTAAAAAATTTGGGATACAAATTAAGTTATTTAATGAAAATATCAACTGAGAACTACGAAGTTAAAATGACAAATACTAAAAGAGAAAATGGTCTAAATTCATAAAATGTTGTTTTTTACCAGAATTTCAAGTCTAAGCGCCGGGCACAAGTTAGATTATACACGAGGCAGTAACTAGATATCAGATTACAACCAAAAAGCACTAAATTTAAGCTCCAGGACACCTCACAACATGAGAACAGAAATTTAAAGATATTTAAACAAGCAATGAAGCAGCACCAAGTAAATGAAACAATTTTTATTATCATAAGAAGAAACAAAAAAATAATAATTTAGCTTTAATAATACAATGTAAATAAAAATGAACAGTTCAGAAGATAAAGATTGTGTCTAATCATGTCTTACCAAATTGCTGTTTGACCTCTGGACTGCTGAGATCAAAATTTTTCAATGTATCCATCATACGGTTATCCCATTCACTACTACCACCCATACTGTTTCTGATAAATAAAAAAAAATCATGATAGGCAAACGGTTATGAGACCTGAGCACATTTGGGCCAAAATAATTGATCATCAAAAAAAGAAAAGATTGCAACACATTAAAAAAAGTTACCCCATAAAATTCTATAGAATATCGTTTAAACTAAATAACATTGTTCCTTTTAGCCCATAAATGGTAGAGATTAAAATAAAACTGTATTTCACATATTACACCAACAGCAGATTCCCTGGGAGATCAGATTCCATGAGCTTATAATATTTAGCTAAAATTTGGATTCACTCACGTTTAACAAACAGCATAAAATAAAAGATTTTCACTCTCATACAGGACTGCTCTCCATTTTACAAGTTGCGATTTGATCAGGTCTATATGGTCAAGTGATACTTTACGTCAATTTGTCTAACAAGCATTTGTGATGCGGGCATCTCATGCCCGTCTGCATGCATGGACCAATTAGGTCCAGGCCTTGTGAGGAAGGCCTGGACGACCCTAAGCTGAAAAGTAGCGCCTCTCTTTTTCGAGAGGAGTCCACTCCTAGTTATCTTAGGTCTATTTATTCATTTTTGTCGGTGTCAAGAGCTAGTGATACCGAAGTTAACCCAAAATCACAACGGAATGAGAATATTATTGTTGAGATTCAAAAGGGATTATAAACAAAGATACTTGAAAATAGGAAAACGATACAAACACAAAAGATCCCTTAGGGCGAGGATCGAAGGTGGTAGAGAGGTGTAACGACAGCAAGCAGAGGTTTTTTATTGGTTAGATAGCATGCTTAAGGCTAAGGCAGGTGCGACAACAAGCTAGAACTGGATTGGTACGGCTGGACAGTGGGCAGGGGTTGTGGAGTGTGCGGCAGTTGGTACGACTAGACAACAGGTAGCGGATTGTTGGAAGGTGTGGTAGCAAACAAGAGAATGCAAAAGAGGAAGGAAAATGAAAAGATAATCACCACCTTAGAGCAGGATATAGTCAGAGCACCATTTGTCCTTGGATACAGCCCTAACAAGGGATAAAAAAGCCGATAGCAGACAATATGAAGTAAAACTGACCTAAACACAACAAATAACATATACAATCTTAGGGTAAAGAGGAGATGGCCCCGCTCCAAATAGGACGGAACCATGCACAAAGGCCGCTCGATCCTTCTCCCATGGGACCAAGCCGGTCGCGTGCGGCACTTGACACGGTCGCGCGGGACTGAGTTCCTCTGTGCCAAGTATGGCGTTCCTGCTTCTGTTAGTATTTTTTTTTGTTCGTTCCAGGATAGTCATCGGCCTTTCCCTTTTCCCTTATAGGGTTGTATCCAAGGGTTCTGAGTGGTGCTCCAATTTTATCTCATTCCTGAGACGGTGTTTTATCCTTCTGATACCCTTTCCATTCCTACAACTGCTTCCTTTCCCTCATCGCTCCACCTATGTTGCCGCCATTCCAAACCGCCCCGCATCTTCACCGTCATCGCTCCCAACCCCCCTTTCCTTGTTGCTAACACCAGGAAAGCAAACATTTGATTTCTGTTGTTTCCGCCCCCATTTCGCTAATGCCGCTGCCCAGGATAGCAAGTTCATTTACTATTTCGACAGTTCCTCACCTCCCCTTGCTACTGGTATATTTCCCTTGTTTCCGCCTCACATTCCAGCCAACTAACCTCCCCTTTGCTACCTCTCCAAAGGCCTAACTCCTAGCCGACACCACTTACACGCGAGATTAAACTCTAGGGCTAGTATTGTGTTGTTTGTTGCAATTTCATATTTTCATATTGTCTTGTCGTAATTTCTTATTTGAATTCAACAAAAATATTTATTTCCCTTTAGTTGTGAGATGAATTATAATATCATTTGGTATCAAAGCCAGGTTAACCCTATTTCCATCCTAAGGTACTAAAATCTAATAGCTAACCCAAACTCCACCCAAAATTATTCCTCCTAGCCGATTTTTCAAATCAATCACTCTAAAATGTTTTTCCACCGCCCTAAATCAGCCCAATACACCCCCTTTCAACTCCCAAACCAAAACCCTAGCCATGCCATCGAGGCAATAAATGTCGGAAGCCGTTCAGGAACTTACCATGGAAGAGATGCATTGACAAATCCACCGACTTAAGCAAAGGTTTGCCGAAATTGAAGAAAGAACCCATTGAGAGATCACCGTCTATTGTGATAGAGAGATTCGAGAGGAGGGAGGAAAATCCGACACCCTTTCGTAGGAATGATTCCAATGAATAGGAAGTAGACAACAACACTTTGGGATTCAGTATCAGAGAAAGTTGATGGATGGAATAACTTTTTGAGTAAATAGAGACAAGTGAATGTAGACTTACCAGATTTTGAGGGACGAATGAATTTGGATGACTTCATTGAATGTTTGCAGACGATTGAGAGAGATTTTTAGTACAATTAGGTGTTAGTTGGTAGGAGAGTGAAGCTTGATGCCATAAAGCTGAAGAAAAGTGTCTCTTTGTGGCGCGAGAATCTGAAAAGAGAAACGGAGAGAAGGTCAGAACAAGATCACTATGTGGGAGAAGATGAAGGAGATGCAAAGGAAGTACATACCCCCACACTACCTCCAGGACATGCTCTTGAAGCTTCATCACCTACAGTAGAGGGAGGTGTCATTCACTTTAGAGTTTGCGCAAATCATGCAGAAATGTGAGTTGACAGGCAAAGAGGAGCACAATATAGTCTGATGTTTGGGATGCCTGAAGCCAACCAACAACAATGTTGTCTAATTATAGTTGTATCAGTCTTTGGGTGATGTTTAGACCTTAGCACTAAAGGAGGAGAAATAACATAAGAAAATTAGGACCCCGCTATCATTCATACACTCAGCCACAATAGGAGCCAAAAAAAGTGCACCTGAGGAAAATATGAAAAATGTATAGAAAAAGATAGAGCTGATCAGAGTGAGAAGCTGTAGACGAGCACTACACCCAATATAGTGCCCTCAAGGAAGTGTTTCAGATGTCATAGATTTGAACACATTGCTTCCAGTTGGCCTACTACCAGAGTTGTTTCTTGCACCGAGCAGGGAGAAGTAGAAGAAGTGGACAGTGGTACTGGTGACATAGAAGATAGTGAGGATGTGAAAGAGCACCAGCTTCCAGCTGATGAGTTCGACATGCTTGTGGCTCAAAGAGTCCTTCAGATTGAGGCTACGAGAGGGGAGCAGGATTTCGCCACAACATTTTTTACACTCGTTGCATTGTAAAAGGATGTGTGCAGACTTATCATCAAAGGAAATACTAGATGATGGATAAGTTGAGTCTCCCTAGTCAAAGACATTCACAATAAAATTCCCGACTTTTTTCAAGAAGAACAGAGTTGCATTAACAGGAGATGCCTTGTGAAATTTACTATTAGGGACCAACTGCAAGATTAGGTGTGGCGTGATGTTGTACCCATGAATGCTTATCACATGTTGTTGGGGAGACTGCGATAGTTTAATCGTAGGGCTCAAAATGATGGGTTCAAGAACACTTACTCATTCATAAAGGGTGGGAAGTTCATAGTTCTCCTACGTTCTATAGTCTAGCAGTTCCATTTGTTGTCTATATAGTAGCAAGTCCAATTTTTGTCTCGGCAATTCCTCACCTCCCCTTGCAACTATCATCCTTCCCACGTTGCCGTCCCACATCCCAGACCACTAGCCTTCCCTTTGCAACATCTCTGGAAGACCAACCACCAGCCAACACCACTTGTACCCTCGATTAAACCCTAGGGCTATTGTTGTGTTGTTGTTTATTGCAATTTCAGATTTCGAAATTGTTTTGTTATAATTTCCTATTGGAATTCATTATTATTTGTTTTCCATTAGTTGTGTGACGAATTACGGTGTCAATTTATCAACATATAATCTAAATAAATGAGTGTAATTTATAGTTCAGATTTAGTGGACAACCACCATACTATATTGGTTGGTTCAATTAAATCATTGGCAAATTTTTGGGCATGCCTATTTTTTCGGCTAGTATGCTTAAATTTAAAGCATCGTTAGCGCGGGAGCAGGAATTCCTGTGTGTGGGACAACCACAATTTTGCATATCTCGGGAGGACGAAATGGGAAAGTTCCCGTCTGATTTGTGATTTGCCCAGAAACCTTGTCGTTTTCTATTTATTCCATATTTCCTTATTTTATTTTTCCTTATTTCCAATTCTCTAGTTTATAATTAGGCATTTCCTATTATGAGACTTTTATTAATGTATATTGGGATGTTTGGATTTTTAGTTTTTTGAATTTATATATATGAAGAAATTTTCTATAATTTATACTCTCTGGAGTGGTATAGCCTATTCCTTTAACAAGTAGGATTCCTATAACTTGCCCAGGAATAGGTGGTGGATCTCCCTCGACATCTATACCTCGCCGATTCGCCTTTTGCTCGCTTTTTCCGTCGAACAGCCGTCAAACGCGCTTCCAACAGCTGGTTACAGCAGAAATTCGCAACTTTGCCACCTCTAGTTCGCCATCCAGCCCCAATGCACGCTGATTTTTCACCTCCCTACATTCTCCCGTTCCCGGTACAACTTCCCTAACAATTTTTGGTGTTCCGTCATACTTTCTAGGGATGCTAGAACAATGTTATTTGGAATCGGAGCAAGCTGAATATCCAGTTGAAAGAATAAGATGTCACGCCGCAAAGGAAACCCCCTCAAAAAAGTGCTCGGGAAATTAACAAGGAAGACATGCACCAGGATACTATCTAATTGCAACAAAGATCCATTGATCTTGAAAAAAAATGGAATGGAGAAATCACCCACAACAACAGCGACCACACGAATAAAAGAGAAGAAAAAAATCATTTCCACCAAGAAGTTTCAAGTGGCAAAGCATCGATAGTGCGTTCATTCGGAATTAAGTATCAGAGGGGAGAATATGATATTGCATTAATGTAGACTTACCATACTTGATAGGCTGCATGGACCCTTATGAATTCATTAAGTGGCTTCAAACAACGGAACGGGTCTTCAAATAAAAGGATGTTCTACCTGACAGAAGG